TTGCACATGGCGGTCAAAGAGAAGAACGGTGTTTGACGCAAATGGGTTGAAACTTTTCCCCCATTTTTTTTGTGGTTGAAGATAAGGTTACTTTGTTGTCTCATTTTTATTGGTTGCTAAGATTTTAGCTGCTAGGTCATCAAGTTAAGTATATAACTCTCAAAATTATGTAGTTTTAAATAAGGGTAAATTTGTCTTATAATTTTTTCGACCAAGTCACCTGCCAAAATGTCCTCAAATGCAACAAATCAATAGTTCAGGTTTATTTATTTTTTTTTTTTGGAACTCAGAACTCTCCTAGGTAAGGCCCTTTAAATCCACCCTAGGCTACAAATTGAGAGTGTAGCGCCCAACCCCATAGGATGCACCATGTAATCCAGGGATGATAAAGGAACTGACAAAGTTCGAACACTGGACGAAGTAACCCCCATGCACCTTACCAACTCATCCAAGGCCCCTGGGGCATTTTACCCTTTAAGTTTTTATGCAATATAAATGAGTTCAAGAAGGTTTCTACTCATCAAAAGTCTTTCCTCAATTATCTTCCATTAAACGGAAAGCTCAACTAAATCAGTAGGTGATTCGGGTTGGGAAAAGCGGGGGCGCGAATCCTCTGATGTGAATTCCCATCCGGTCCCCTGCAGTGCACTGATGAAAGGTCTTGGTTTGGCTACGTCTAATTCTATTTATAATATGTGTGTAGGCTCCACTATAATGATACAAAATGGATTTTTCCGTTAACAACCTTCCTTCTTTTAACTTATACGGTAACTTATTATAGAAAAAGAAAAAACAAATAAGAAATAAAAGCTAACCCTAAACAAAACAAAATAAAAAGCTAATCTTAAACAAAATAAAACGCAAAAAAGGGAGCTCCCGCCCAAAGAACCCTCAATTGAATCAAGGGTTTCCATATTATTGTTGCTGTAATCCATCAATCAATTAGGCATTTTTGGGTTTCGAACAAATTAAGAACGAAAAGCAAAAATAGGGTATCGATTGACTGACTTCCTTATCGGTTGAAGGAATACGAGAGTGAGGAGGATTTCTGGGAGGAAGGTTCAATTTTCAACAAGATTTTCTCAGAAGAATAACAAAACCAGAACAGGTGATTCCTTTCTACCATTTTCTATGTTTAATTTCATATTCAAATCTTTGTTTACTGTAATCAGAACCTTTTACACATACCAACACCTCTATTTTTACATTTAAATTTAAGCTATTTGGATCAGTCCCTTTTTTTTGTAGCACGAGACAATGATAGCAGCTAATAAGATCTGGCATTAACTTGGAACCACGTGCGTCTAAAGCACCTTTTACTAAAATCAATGTAGTTGTATGTAAACCTAGAACAATAGCATGATGAACTTGTTCCTTTTTTTTAGCTTGAGAGAGAGATTGCATATTGGCTAGAGTAGCAACAGTGGGAGAGAAATGTGAGAAAATTAGGGATTTAATTTGCATCTTTTGCAATTGCAAACCTATATGTAAGCATCTATCCAAATGACTCCACCAAAATACATATTTAAAACTAAAGTAAAGAATACAAACAGCTTATTCGAGAGGAAAGAATTGTAAACAATAAATAACACAGCTTTCTCTCATCCCCTCTGCACAAAATAATAATAATAATAACAAATTAAAAAATGTAAAGGAAGACAAGCAACACAAGGTGAATATATTTGCAATAGGAACATTAGATAGGATTCCAAAGTGTAATGAATTTGAGGATGTATGTTGCATTAGAACATGCATTACACCTTTTTTTTTTTGGTAATGAATAATCAATCCACTTGCTAGCCACTTGGGGCTCTCGGATGGTTTGCAAACTCCTGATACACATAATCACACATAAACCACGTGCATGATTTAATTCCAAACCAGAGATGTAAAGGAGTACCCAAATGCCTGTCCAATTGTGCTGCACGTGCGGGCACACATGCATTACAATTGAGATGATATAACTGGCTTTTTCGGATTCTGAAATTGTGCAAGAATCCAAATTTTCTTTCAATTTCCACATTTTCTCCGCAACTAACCTTAACTTCAAAATAAAACTGAAACCACAGTAATTTCAAATACTAATTCTACTCCTAAAAGTCAAAATATAGTTATGATTTCTATATAGCAATAGCAATACTGATAAAAATTCATAAATCCCAACTTTAAAGACTTATTTTTTCATATCTTTTAAGCACTACTCAATTGGACTGTATAAGATAGTTCCAAAACAATTCTATGTATGGTTGTATGCAAGTCTCATATTGGAAATAACATATAATGTTGTATGTTACATTAGAGCATGCATTAGAAGTGGGATGAGATAATTGGTTTCTTTGGATTCTATAAATTGTACAAGAATAGGAATTTTCTCTCACTTTTTTCCAATTTCTCCCTAATCAAACTTTAAGTTAACTTACCACTACTTAAAATTATGATTGCTCCAACAATAATTCCAAATACTAATTCAACCTCTAAAAGTCAAAACATGGTTATGATCTCTATATTGCAGTAGCAATATTGATAAAAATTCATAAACCTTAACTTCAAAGACCCCTCTTTGATGGTTTCTAAGTACTCTTCAATCCAAATTTTAAGGAAGCAATAATTTATGGTCCAAACTTTTCTGTCCAATCTATTTGCTTTAAATAATAGAGATTAAACAATATATATAAATATGTGTGTGTGTGTGTGTGTGTAAGTATACAAGTCTCGTATTGGAAATAACATAGTATACTTTTTTATAATAAAAGGGGTTTAGACCAGTTTTTTTAATCAAAGAATCAATTATGGAAGATTTCAGATTCGCTAGAATGCTTTATTGAAGATTATAGAACAAAACCCTATAAATAAGCCCCTTAACAAATGTAAATTTCAAGTGAAAATAACAAATAAACCTCTTAACTAATGTAAATTTCAAGTGAAAATATCGTAATTTACAGTAACAAAATGACAAATGAATTAATCATAATTTCAGTTCTAAATCTATAATGTTCAATTAAAAATAAAATTTTCACTGTATTTTGAACAATAAATGAACAATATTAATAAATGCACAATATTAATAACATTTATTAAGCCTTATCAACCATCAAATGTGCAAAACTATAAAGGGAAAATTAGATTTTGGTGACCAAAATTAAATATAATTGCTCTAAAGTGATCTTAAAGTCAAAAAAAGTTGAATAGTCACCGATATTGAAACTTAATTGCTATTAAGTGACTATTTGAGGATAATTTGGTCAAAAACACTTAAAAGTTTGATAAATATTCTAAAAATAAATTTTAGAAGACAAAATTGTCATCCAATACAAATAATAACTTATTGGATTTCTCCTCCTCCTCTCTCTCTCTCTCATCCATTGTTTTCTTTTTTTCTTTTTAGTTTGCAAATGCAAATTTAAAAAATTAGAATTTCTTTATCAACATTATCTCTTTTCCACTCTTATCTCTTTTCAAGGCTCTCCAACATGATCACAAAATATAATATTTACAATGGCAAATCAAGAAAGGAAGTTCAATCCCAAAATGCTCTTTATAAAATATTTATAGAGGTGAGGACCCTTCTCAATGATGTAATTGTCTATTTAGAAAGAAAGCATGGCAAGCCATAGATAGATTTTGAAAATAAATAAATAAAGAAGAGGCAAAAGTTTTTGGAAGAAATAATTTTTCAAACATTCTAACAAACAAATGAAGTGCATTACAAAGTAGTATAATTTTGGGGCGTGAACTAATAATGGCAATGTCTAAAGTGAATACATTCACTTTAAAAACAAAGTGTTATTGCACGACAAGAAGTGTTCCAAAGCCTAAGCAATCTCAATGACAATTCATATGACAACTTCATATTTTTCAAAACATCTATTAGCAGTTGGTAAAATTCTGAAATTAATCATCAACAATGGTCATTATTTCTTAAATTATAACTTAGTAGTATTGAAATATTCCTAAAAATTATAATCTTATATCTTAGGGAAGATCTCTCAAACAAATCAACTTGTAAAGTATAATATCTATACCTTGAAAATAATGAATAAAAAGAAAATTTACAATTTTCTTATCCTGCCTCTTAAAACATTGAAGAAAGTGATATAGAACCTCCGTCCTCAGTTCTCTTCTCTTCCGAGCCCCAGCCCGATATGGTAGAATGTGTTAAGTAAGTGTTAGGTATTGTTAACGGAATCTAATGAGCATCGGGATTTGATTCAAAGAAGGAATTGCAAAGTAAAAATGCAAGCAAAAACTGCTATCTGGGTTTTGATTCAAAAAAGAAAATAAAAAAGTAAAAAAATAGGATTTTCATAGAACGAAAAGGAAAGGAGGGAGGATTAGGGTTTTGAATTAAAAAAGAATTAAAAAACAATAATACACTATGCTTTTGATGGAACCAGAAGGAAAGAAGAGAGGAATTAGGGTTTGGATTCAAGAAGTTAAAAAAGAAATAATAGAAGAAAACAAAAAGAGAAGAAGAAAAGTTGCAAAAGAAATTGCAACAGAAAGAGAAGAAGCGCCCATTTGCCCGTTTTCAACTTTTTTCAGATTTTTATTTTTTAGTTGACAAGTTATTATTAACTTCAATGTTCCGTTACTTGCCTTTTTTATCACGCCAAGTCAAACAAAACCTCAAGTAGCGCATTGTAAGAAACCACATAGGAATTCACTCTGGAGGACTCGCCCCGAAAAGTGGAGCTGGATTTTTGGAGTACGTCGGCTCGAGTGTGGTAATTTGGCTGGCAAAAGGTATTGGACCCATATGCTTAATTTAAAATTCTTTAACGATCCATGGAGGCCCAATTGAAGGAGTCTTATAATCATTGCCGGCCTTAGTTGATCCAATACATATAAAAATACAACCGAGAGAGACACGAAAGGGACAGGTGAAGCGTGACAAACACCACCCACCCAATTTGGCCGTTAGGGCCACTCTTCCGTTTCATTCCCTCCACGTCCTTGTATATTAAACGGACAAAAAGCAAATAAAAAATTTTCAGGCAAAAATGTTCCAACACGAATGTGTGTATCATGTGTGTGTACACACCTTTTGGGTTTGCCTTATACATTCCCAGAGAGAGAGCGAGAGAGAGAGAGTTCCTATTGCCACAAAGAGAGAGAGTTCCTACTTCTTGATTGATTTAAATGGGAACACTCAATATATCAGCAGCTCATTCAGTTAGGGTGCGTGTTTTAATTCCGATTCTTACCACATCTAGACGCTCTTTCTTCAAACCTCCCATAACCCCAACCTTCAAACCCATGTTCGCCGCTAAAGTGCATGCTTCTTCAACAGCCTTCATTGAAACCAAGCCGGTATTAATTCGTCTCTCTCTCTATATGTGTGTATATATATAGCTACAAAATTGATATGAGATTCAGTTTTTATTTTTTTTTGGAATTAATGAGATGTTAATACTGTGAAACAGTAGAATTTAGGATTTGATTTGTTAAAATATAGTTTGTTTAATTGAGGATTGATCCTCTTCAGGCGAAAATTCTCACCAGATTAAGCTTAAATTCGTTTGAGTTAAATCATTGAAAGTAGTTTAGGACGACCAAAACAGCAATTATTATCTTTTTTCCGGTTAAACATATTAATACCAAAAATTGTATTGTGAAAATGAGAAATTAATTTTTGATATTAATGGACAATAATGCATTTTGCAGCACAGAATGGAACACATGAAAATTAGAGGCCATGTTGTTTTTGAAATAGTTTGTAATATTTTGATCTCCTATGAATGCATACTTCTGCATAATTTGCACTTGCACTTCCATATGGATTTCCGTTCCAAGTAACTCCCAGTATAGTTGAAACTTCACAACTTATGGGGGCAGACCTGTGCGGAGACTAAGGGGGGCCATGTCCCCCAAATCATCTTTACAAATACCTATTTTATAGGGCCTAAAATAATTGTAATTAAAATTACTAAAAAGATTTTATTTTATTTTATTTTATTTTATTTATTTGATAAGTAAAATTACTAAAAAGATTTACTTGGCAAAAACATGTTAAGGCTGCGTTTCGGCCATCAACATACAAGACATCATCTATGCTAGAAATTTCTTAAGTTTTCCTAATTGTTCCCCTACCAACAATCAAGGCTTTCTTGTTACCCCCAAAAATGACACAACCACCTTCAAATTCGTTTAACTTTTCAAATTTAGATTTGTCACCAGTTATATGTCTTGAACAACCGTTGTCAACATACTATTTAGAATTGACATTGCAAGCTTTAAAAGCCGTGTAAATGAGCATGCTAACAAAATTCAATTTCTTGGGCATCCAAATTATTTTGGTTTTAACAAATGCATTGCAAGATTTAGACATTCTAGTGTGCTTCAAATCAGATTTCTTTATATAGGCAGGCTTGACTTTAGAATTTCTATTGGCAGAAGATGCAACATCTAAATGATCATACTTCCATGTGGTATTGGTAGACTGAAGTAGTTCAGATGCTTTGAGAGTAATAGGATAAGCAGCATAAACATCACCACTTTCAGATTTAACAAAGGTAGAGTGTGTAGTGGTTTGTTTTACCTTCTCACCTGAGCTTAGATCAAAACCAATACCTGTCCTTCCAATCTGTTTGGTTGAAATTGTTCAGATTTCAGTCATTTTCTTGGACCTTTCTTCCAAGGCCATAGCAAGTTCCTCTCTGCACCTTTAGTGCTTTAGTTTGTTTCAACTGACCTGTAATTGACACAATAGCACACTGTTAGAGAAATGGAGCAAAGGAGAGAGTTTTACCTTGATATGCTTGAGGAGGAGCTCCTCAGTCTTTTCCAGCTCAAGGTTGACCAACTTCAATTCCTTTATCTGAGAATTGCATTTCTTTGCAAGCCTTTCACATTCAGCTAAGGCTTCATCAAGATCATCATCCTCATCTTCCGCCACATCTTGGTTTGAAGGGAGTTCTTGAAAAGCCATAAACAAACAAGCTTCTTCTGCTTCTTCTTTTTTATTTTCTGATCCTGATTCCCATCCAGTAAGTAATGCCTTTCTGCTTAATTTTCCTTTGTACTTAGCTGCATCATTCTTCTTCTGCTTTTGTCCTTTTGAGTTGCGAGAACAGTAACAGGTTTGATTCTGTTGCTATCCTTTCTTCCTCATCCCGAATATCTTGAATTTTCTAGCAAGGTAGGCCATTTCATCTTCTGATAGATCATCCTCAGAACCATTCTCTGTCTAATGGTCAACTTCCTTAGCTTTCAAAGCTGCCTCCCTTTTTGATGATGTAGGAAGACCAATTCTCATTTCATATGCAATTAGAGAAGATTGCAGATCATCAATGGTCATGCAGATCAGGTCCTTATCTTCCAAAATGGTTACCTTTGGATTAAACGTAGCTGTGAGTGATCTAAGGACTCTCTTGCAGACTTCTGAGTCCTTTTACATCTTCTCCAAGAGTTTGATACTATTAACTATTTCATTTACTCTGAAGAAATACTCAGCAACAGTTTCCCTATCTTCCATCTTACAGCCTTCATACTAAACCTTAAGAAGCGTATCATGTTCTCTTTGATTGTTCTATTTAACTCATGAGCAGCCTGGAGTGAGTCCCATATATTCTTAGCTGTTTTGCAGTTCTTGACCATAGTGAATTCTTGCTTCTTCAAAGCACAATACAATGCATGTCTAGCTTTGCCATCAATTGAGATAGCTTGTCTGCAACTGTGGGATTAGCTTGGTTGATGATAACTACACCTTCAGTAGTAGCATGTCAAACATCAAAGGACTGATGAGACATGACAAAAGTATCCATTCTAATCCTCCATGAGTCATAATTTGATCCATCAAACAGTGGAGCCTTGATAGTGGACTGTACCTCATCAGCCATCCTTAAGACCTCTTCTGCAGGTGATTAAACCTCAACAATGCAGACCCTAGCTCTGAAACCAATTGAAGAACCAAGAAGGGGAGGGGGTGAATTCGTTCCCGGAATTCTTTTCTTAATCTTGACCCAAGCAATTCCAATATAATGAATGCCACTAGAGAGCTAGATAAGCAGTAACATGCCTAATGCCAAATTAATTTGATGTAAGCCCTTCTCAAACCCTAATTATGCATACATGTTTGCTAGAATGCACAAGAGACATAATTGTAAATGTAGGACACCAAATTTACGAGGTAAAACACCAAATGTAGGGGAAACCTCGAGGTATTAAAGCCTAGTTCCAAATCCACTATGAGCAAAGTTGAGGTTTACAAACTCTCACACTCTCACTCACTGCACTCAGCAAGCTCACTACAAGAGCACCCAAGCACTCACCTTGTCCACGACACCCAATGCTTGGGCTAGACACTCACCAATCTCACTACAATAGCACTCAAGCACTTCCCATGTCCGCAACACCCACAGCTTGGACTATATATTCTCAAAAACAAGAAGGAAATATAAATGAAGTACTCAATCCCTTCCAATTAGAATCACAACACAATTAGCTTGAGCAAGGTAGTAGCTGATACTTACTGCTACAGAAGAAGCTGCATACAAAGGTTTGGAAATCCATATTTAGTTGCAGCCTCAGAATCTGCTTGGTATTGGCTTGACAAGATAGGAAATAGTATTCAGCAGTTGCTCATACCAAGGGAAGCCTCAAAAACAAAACATCCTCTCTTGAAAACAACTTTGAGACTTGACATCACCATATTCTGTTTTTCAGCATCAGCAGGCAAGGTTGGCGAGAATGGGATGCAACCTTGATTCTTGATGAACTGAGGTTTAAATGACCTTGCAAAGATAATTCGAACGCCTTCTAATACAATTTTATTTATCAAAAAAATCAGGATGCTCACAGGACCAAAATGAACCATACTTGGACAACCTAGGGTCTTAATAGATTTAATATAATAGTGTCTACAGTTTTTAGTACCAAGAATGCAACTTCTCTTCATTCTTCTGAGACCGTGATGAACTCTGGTATTTAGATCTAGAAAATAGAGGCTCACAGAATTCAAAAGCTCATTTGTGCACTCAGAAATATGAATCCTGTCAAAAGCTCTCTCAGATTTTCAATTTTGAGCTCACAGCCTTTTCTGCTGATATATGCACAATATATAGACCTGAGATATGATACAGCTGAGGATAAGAATGACAACTTTTAAAGCACCTTTACAGGAATTATCTGACCGCTGCAAGAATGACAGCAATGCCCTCTCTATGCACCTTTACAGAATTGGCAAGTCTGCCATTTGGAATTTGAACTGTAGCAGCACCTGAGCAAGGATAGATATGGCCTTCTCTCAGCAAGGAACATTCTAGAGAATGTAGAGTTGACAGAGTACGTGAATGGCACGTGACACACCTGTGCATTTGCACAAATGCCCTAGAAAGGGCTGTCGGTGCATATCTGTAAACATGAGAGCAGCTGTCAATATAGTCGACTCTATCAAAAGTATAGTCAACTGTTCTAGTTGTAACAATTTAGCACAGCTTTCTGGAATGACATGTAGTCAACTCTAATAGGGTATAGTCAACTGCCCTAGATATATCATGTTTTACATTGCTACTAGAATTACATGACAATCGACTGATCTAAGGAGTAGTCGACGGTGTCACATAACAGACTACAAATAAATTGCAGAAGTGAATGCAATGTGCTGATATGAATTTTTTACGATAACTAGGATTTCAAGATGTTATGATGCGTGCCATTAGAACACATAAGTATTGTTTAGACATTAATAAACCGTTAGTTGATTAATGGAATTTACTGTTTTTAAATGAACCTTTCATTTATTTACTCATTTTCTTTCTTTTTTATTTTTTATATATTTATGTATTTTTTTTGGAAATGTTAGAACTGATCTGCATGTATCTGAAATATGTAGACCTTGTGCTCTGGCTGTTTCCTTTTGTCCTCCATTTTTTTTTTGGGGAAAAAAAAACTATGGACTCCATTAGATATCTTTTAGTTACTTTTTATGTTTCAACTTTGAGAAAGAAAACTAAGAAAAAGAACGAAGTCAATCAGAGGATCACTAAATTTTATGAATAAAACTGTACCATGTATTGTATTTGGTGCATTCTGGTAACTTTGTTATTTTTTTACACTGTTGTATGTTTGTAATATTATAAGACGTGAAACACCACTACACACCGTATTTAGAAAATTATTACTATAGTAAGATTTCCTAAAACTTATAACGGATGGAGAATAATGGGGATGAAAGGAACATAGACCCTATCGTGGCGGGGATAAAGTGGGTATAGAAAATAAATATCCAAAATATACACTAGCAGGAGTTCTATGTCTGTTTTGGTGCAGTTTGGTGATTACTGCTTTGCTTTCCTGGAGAAAAATTTGTCTTAAATATCATAATTATTAACCTAAATCATAAAAATAGAGAAAATGAGTAAATCTTATAGTTGATCACACACCACCCCGACATGGATGTACAAACACATGATCTGTGTGTGTTCAGATAGTTGATGGGAAGATTTGTAGGATTATTAGAATTTTAATTCTTCTACTGAGGTGATTCTCTCTGCTTTCAACTACATTTTCTTAATGGGAAGGCCAGTTGACTGTAGTAGTGTTACTTATTCATTTGTTTAATGAGATGCAAATATGCGTTTATGTCATACTCAGCTTTGTAGTTAGTTGACTCTTTTTCCTTATGTCTTACATGTTTTACTTTTCTCTCTTCAAATGTATTGGAAGGTTTCTGTAATAGAGGAGAAGGAGGTCAACAACCACAAAAACATGTTGGCTTGTCCCATTTGTTATGACCCAATGATTTGGAATAGTGATCCAGGACTATCTATGTAAGTTATCTCCATCACAACCTCAGTAGAAGGATCTCCCTTTACTTGTCAACATTTTCCTGTACCCTCTTCCGTTTAACTGGTGTGTTATGATATTTTCCTTCCTTCTTCTATTCATATTGTTTTTCCTGCTTTGTGAAGTTGCATGCTAGTCATCCCCTTTATAAGTGTTTCTGCTGCATGAATTTCCTACAGGGATTCTACACCTCAGTCTAGTTTACAATGCAACACCTGTAAGAAGGCTTACTTTGGCAATGCCACTCATCTTGACTTAACGGTATCTAGTGGGGCCAAGGAGTATGGTGAATATAGGCCCTTATCCACAGAGTTATTCAGGTACTGGGAATACTTCTATTTGCATTCTTATGACCTTAAGTAGCTATCATACACATTTAAGTTAAGAGTTTGGTAGCATGGGGTATATCAGAGCATGGGTGAAGAGTTGAAATGGTTGCCATGTGTTCAGTTTCTTGTTTCATGAAGCCTATTCCAAATTATATATATGAAAACTTTGGATATATTGGAGAAGGGGTGAAGGGTTGAAATGGTTGCCATGTGTTCAGTTTCTTGTTTCATGAAGCCTATTCTGAATTACATATATGAAAACTTTTGGTTATTCTAGAGGCAATTTCAAGGAAAATGACATATAATGTTCACCAAGATGGTTTCCTTTAACTTTGGCTTTCCCTTTTTCACAGCTCCTGAAACTGTCAACACAATAGAAATTGGTATTTTTGTATGATATTACTATCCAATGAAAATAAAATTATGACTTTGTCTTAAAGACAAATTTTCTGATGTGTCAGTATATTTTATGGGTTATTTGCCCTGTTCCAGGGCTATTCTTTATATGAAAAATACTGAAGCTGAATGATGTAATGTGGAATTAGATTACCACGTAGTTGAGATAGTAGATTCTTGTTGCTCTAGTACTTTTGTTTAACTTCTGCAAGTGGATTTACCCACCTGCTTTTTAAGGAATAACTTCAAAATTAGTGTCGTCAAAGTAAAGAGGCCTCACGACCACAATGAATGTATTACGCTGGTCATAGAAATTCCTTATTTCTTCTTAGAGCAACCTTAGTTTTCTTTTAGTATGTAGATTTTAGCAGCATTTGAAGAAAAGAAAATTTTCCTTCAATCCTTTAAATAAAAAATGAAATTATCCTCCAAAATTTTGTCCAGTCTATCAGGTTATGAGGGAGGTAGATTGTTACCTAAGACTGATGGTCCGAGTATGCAAGGTTTAATTAGACCCCCGCGGCGCCCCGGGGGGGGGGGGGGGGGGGGGTGGGTGTTTGGGTTTGGGCCTGAGGGGTGGAGTGTGTGTATGGGTATTCAGTTTAAAAAACTAACTTTTCTGATTTATGTTAAATCTTGATTAATTTCCAGTTAGTGAATCATCTCTCTTGAAACTCACACAACCACTCTGCCCCTATGGGGACTTGAACCATCTACCTTCTACTTTGTAAGGTGAGGAAGTATCACTAGGCTGCAACCCTTGGTGATAATCATGCGTCTCAATTGCAGTCACATGAACACATAAAGTAGTAAATAAAATAAAGTAGAGACACGAGATTTTTTATGTGGAAACGTTAGATGGTGGAAAAATCACATAACCTAATCCATCCATGAACAATCTATTACGAGAAAGGTATTTGTTGTAAAGCTCAAAACGGAAGCGAAGAGAGATATGAAATACGAAGAACACAAGGATATTACGTGGTTCAGCCACTAGGGCCTACAGAGGGCTACATCACTTTATAATATATTCTCTCTTAATCTTTGTATACAATGATCACCTTTATTTATAGGTGAAAGAATAGAGGTGATAAATATGGAAAATACATTAATGGAAGATTCCTAAAATCAATACCATAAATTACTCCGATCATATTCTATTATAGGCTAGAATCTCTCCTATGATATTCTAGTATCAAATATTATGTCAAGGAATAATTTAAGGGTTCCTATAATAATATTTTCCAAATATAACATCTTCTAACACTCCCCCTCAAGCTGAAGGCCAGCTTGCATATTAAATCATGAAATAGATTTTTTTTCCAACGATTAGGAAAAAGACAATAAAACTGCTAGAGACACGGTGAAGGCGAAGAATAATGCTACCGAACACACCGGCAGCCCAAATAAGTCCACATACCACCGAATACATGGCGAAGGTGACAAACAACGCTACCGAACACACCGGCAACCCAAACAAGTCCACATATCACCGAACACATGGCGAAGGTGACGAACAATGCTATTGAACACACCGACAACCCAAACAAGTCAATAAAAATTGCCAGAGACATGGCAAAGGCGAAAACATTACCGCCGAACAAACCGGCAGCCCAAACATGGAACAAATAGCACTGAGAAACCCTTAGCAACATTTTAGATGCTAAAGGAATACCCCAAAATAGGGGTCCGAACCTAGGAAGAAAATTAGGCTCTGATACCATGTTGTAACGACCCACTCCACCATATGGTATAATATTGTCTGCTTTGGGCCTAAGCCCGCACGGTTTTACTTTTGGGCTTTACCCCAAAAGGCCTCATACTAATTGAAGTGACACACCTACATATAAGCACTTCACATTTCCTTTACCCAGGCGATGTGAGACTGTGCATCCGTAGCTTGCTAATGTGATAGACTGACAGTGTCTCGCACCCGCCTATGACACACATTTGAAACACGAAGAACACAAGGATATTACGTTGTTCAGCCACTAGGGCCTACAGAGGGCTACATCACTTTATAATATATTCTCTCTTAATCTTTGTATACAATGATCACCTTTATTTATAGGTGAAAGAATAGAGGTGATAAATATGGAAAATACATTAATGGAAGATTCCTAAAATCAATACCATAAATCACTCCGATCATATTCTATTATAGGCTAGAATCTCTCCTATGATATTCTAGTATCAAATATTATGTCAAGGAATAATTTAAGGGTTCCTATAATAATATTTTCCAAATATAACATCTTCTAACAGTATTACACAATATGTTGAACATACTCAACCCAAGAGTCACCTATTTACTTCTGACTCAGGAGAGAAGATCCTCTACGATCTCTGCTGCTGCCAGTTAGCAAACTTTTTCACTCACAAGTTTGCTCTCCGTGGTTGTTCAATTCTTGGCCTTTAAATTTTCTTGATCGATGCTTTGTTTCGGGGACAGGGCATGGGCTCCTCCAATTTTTGTTGGAAAATATTATTATAAGAACCCTTAAATTACTTCTTGCTAAAAAATTTGATATGAGCTTTGTGTGTCGTGGATGTAAGCCCTAGTGGCTGAACCATGTTATATTCTTGTGTTCTGTATGTTTTAGTTTCTCTTTTCAATTTTTATATCTTTCAATATGGTGTCAGAGTAAGTTTATCATACCCTACTTTATACTCTACTTGTCTCGGATCTTCAGATCAACTCATCTCGTCTTGGATATTCGGATCAACTTGTCTCACACTCTCACAACTTCATATGTAGTTTCAAGTTGGACACTTGAGTTAAGGGGGGTGTTGGAAAATATTATTATAGGAACCCTTAAATTACTCCTTTATTGAATATTTGATATGAGGATATCATAGGAGAGATTTTAGCCTATGACAGAATATTGATTGGAGTGATTTATGGTATTGATTTTAGGAATCTTCCATCAATGTATTTTCCATATTTATCACTTGTATTCTTTCACCTATAAATAGAGGTGATCATTGTATACAAAGATTAAGAGAGAATATAATGAAAGAGATGTAGCCCTTTGAGCTTTGTGTGTCGTGGATGCAAGCTCTAGTGGCTAAACCATGTTATATTCTTGTGTTCTTCATGTTTTAGTTTCTCTCTTCAACTTTTATATCTTTCAATATTTTATTTGTAGACCCAATCTTTTATAATTAATAATGCCCCCCCAACCCCATTTTTTTGTATTTTTTTTTTAAACCCTTGTTTATGGGTTTCTTAATAGTTATTAATGTTGAGTTTAATAGACTTACATTTGATGTAACCCCTCAAAAATCAATTACCACGTTTTTATTCTTACTTTAGAAAATTCAAAATTAGTGAAAGAAAATTAAATTCCATTATAGTGGTAGACTGGTAGTCCTTACTACAACATATCAATTCTACATTCAAATATATATATATATATATATATATATATATATATATATATATATATATATATAAACTTAAATAATTAAGATGAAAAAAACTAATACGAAAAGGAAAAAACAAGAAAAGAAAAGAAAAAACTATTATAATATATTTAAAATTTTACTTATATCGTGCTATTTTGGCCCCGACAGAGTATTTCTAGATCCGCCCTTGCTTTGTTTGATTGTCTTTGATGTGATACTTGCTTTGAATCTTATATAGAATAATCTATTGTAATTCCTAGATTGTTAGGGACGACGTTCAGAGTAGAAATTGATCCAATTTTGATCTATTCTCTTTGTCTCTCTCTCAGTTTAGTCTCTCTACTCTCTGTTCAATCCCTCTCTCCCTCTCTCTCTCTCTCTCTCTCTCAGCAATCTTTTTGTTTACCCAGATTTTGTCTCTCTCACTGGTTTCTTTGTATTTGTTTCTTTCATCCTTTGCTTATTACAATCTCTTTCCTAAATGGATACGAAAGAGTCTCTACTCCTTTGGTTAATGACTAGTATCAAATTGAAGGGTATGTGGGAAGAACTGAATGTTTATCAGCCGTTGATTGTAGATTTGGAACAATAGAAACAACATAGAAATTTTGAGTGGCAAAATTTTTGTCTGGTCTTAAACCTGAACTTGCTCCTATTAGTTCTCAGATTTTGTTTGGTACGGAAATTCCCACAACTGGTGAAACCTTTGCTCGGGTTCGGAGAGCCTTCATTCTTTCTCCTTCTCTTGGGAAGGAGGCCCATTCTACTCTTATTGCTCCTGTTGGACTACTTCACACGCCTCGTGGAGGATTGGGAGGTACAGCTTCATCAAAACCAGGACATGGTGGTAATTAAGGAGGCAAAGGTCGTAGAGGAACCAAGAAGTGTACTCATTGTGGCCGGACCAATCATTCTGTTGACTACTGCTGGGAATTTTAACGACAAGCCAGCTTGGGCAAATCAGGCAGCGGTTCGGGGGGGAGAACAATGCATCTACTACAGAAGAAAATGTTTTTTCTAAAAGCTGAGTATGATTCAATGGTTAAAGTGTGCAGATTTGTCTTCCACCTCCACAGCTGCTATAGGTGCTTCAGGTAATATTTGTCTTCATACCTTGTCTACTGCACCTTGGATCATTGATTTAGGGGTGTCCGACCACATGACAAGCAATTCTTCTATCCTTTCAG